ACTGATCACCGCAACTTTTAGATTAGTTTCGTTTAACAAACTCTCCACTAGAAAAATAAACACAATATTAATCTATTAAAATAGCCGCAAATGTCGCAATTTAGATGATACCTATATTGACAACAGGTTTCATGAAATCTCCTGTTAATTTACTGAATACCAGATTAGATTGGGCGCCATGACGAGAAGTTAATTGGAGAGCTTCTTTCACAGGACCATTCATCAGCTTGTTTAAAGATTCGTCGCTAAAGACGGAGTATTCTAAAATAATCGAATAATCCTTAAAGATTGCTATCTCGAATAATCAATTCAAACTGTATCAATACTATTAATATATATCATTATTATTAATAGTATTATGTAAGAAAATATAAAATTTACCTTGAGCAAACGTTGGTTCTGATTTAAGTCTTTCCATGAGGGATACCTGGTTACCAGGTTCCATTTTCGTTAGAATATTATAGAAATCGATATTATTAGTAACTTGAGCAATGACTCCTTCAGTATAGCTCCACAGTCTCGTTGCTGTTGCCCACTGCTTAGTATCTACGGCATTTTTCGTTTTCAGAGCTGCTTCGTTAATCTTCTCATAGCCAGCAGTGTCTACCATACCCTAAAAAAATATTTGACAAAGAAAATAGATAGTACATGAACAGTATGAGGGCTGAAGGTATAACATAAATAAAATTAAAAGGTAATGTACCGTGGCAAGTAAGAAAGGCGCCCAAGTCATCACTGAATCAATAGGGGAGATCCAGGCATCACCAAGAGCAACACCCTTCAAGTTACTTTTAATAGTTCCCGTCTGTTGTGCCTGCAAAAAAAAGCAATGCATTAATAAAAATATATATATATATATATATATATATATATATACATATATTCGATTAAAATTGACATAAATATAATATAACATCAAAAACATGTATATAATATAGGAAAAAATTTGATTAAACTATGTTATCTTACCTTGTACCATGAAAGGGCAAATTCTGCACCCATTTTTCCTCCATAAGATTCAGTGGTGATGTACGTCGGTACATTAGAAAATGCTGGTAGCTGTTTTAAGAAACCTTTTATACATTCCAAGAGATCGTGTGCGATCTCTGTATTCGTCTTAGTGTATCCATCTTGTGCAGTAATATAACTGAAACCGGTGCCGACCGGATTGTCAATGAAGAGAACGTTGTAATCTTTCACCTGTAAATATTTTAATTTCTATTTATAATATCTGCATGTATATATTTCATTACTGCTTGTTTGAGATGTGTATGTTAATGATCTTTTTATAACTTCCCGTTTTTATAGGAAAAATATTGATCTTTAATGAATTTTAATCAAGATTACTATAATTTTTCAAATTTAAATATATAAAGAAAGTACACATGTATGTACTTATATCAATTAGTTTTCAATATTTAATTAAAACATTTAATTAAAACTGTGATCAATTTTTTTTTCACTCATAACTAGATTATGAAACCGAACATCTATATTATCTATGTCTAATTTCAGTTGATGAGCTTCGAATTAATGTCTTATCACTAAAAAATTTGTTGAGAAAACGTGTGAAATTGATTTCAGATACAAGAAAAAAAGATCCCTCGAGTCATGTTAAATTGGCATTGTCATGAATCGTGTTAAGTTGATATTGATACCATACCCAAGTGAAATTCCTTGGGTTCAAGTCGGCGTCCAAAGGTCCAAGTTCCTCAAAGTTTCCATAGGAAGTGGAGGATGCACCGGGTCCACCTTGCAGCCAGATAACTAATGGTTTTTCATAGTAAGACGACACATCCGCGGTGGTATAATAAAGCCACCAGAACATTTGTGCAGTTGGCCGTACTTTCACGTATCCCCATTCTTGTTCTCCAGGACCAAATCCTTTCTTCGCTGTCAAGCAAGAAACACTGTTCAATTAAGTGTGATCTCCCGTGAGTTTGCATGACTTGTTCTCTGACTTCTAGCGACTTTATAATTTCCACTCAATGTCCGATTGTATTAATAGACGTTACTAAAATTGTTGAAAGTGATCGTTAATTCTTTTCTTATTTTATTTCTTTTCACCATTATCGAAGAATATTTTAATTTTATTACAGTGGCTGAAGAATTTATGGCGCAAAGACGAGCAGCTTGAGCAATGCTTATGTTGATTATATATTTGCAGAGTTTTATGAATTGTATGTTCTTCCACAAAGCAAATTGATCATTTTTGCACAGTTATTAACACTTCTTTCTTTTAATCCATTGATGAGTAAAAGACTTACTGGTGTTTAATTGTTCAAAAAAGTATTTGAAACAACTGTGTTTTACTAGGAAAGTTCAAGCTTGAACATGATAATTTCATAAAACAGAAATATATATTTAGTACTTATTTGTATTTGTAAGTACTTACCAAGGGCATCAGAAGCGAAGCACAATGACACTAACAGGAATATCGAAAATTTCCTCATTGTATGCTTGAATAACAGACAATTAATTAAAGACTAAACATTCTGAACGTATATAAATCTAGACAGGATGGTCTTATCTGCCATTAGCGGCCGATTGATTAGATATACGGGAAATGATTAATCCTATCGTTCGAGGTTTCGCCATATTTCGTTGTGCCAATCAGTTGCAATTGAACAATGGATGATTCCTTATTAATGATCTTTTATTAATTCCTTCCACTTGAAGGATTTTGTAAAATGATTACCGTCCTCCTCAGGTGATCGCACTAAACTCATCAGCAACTCGCATGCATATAAATACCTCGTTCTTACGTGTCGTTAGTTAGTTTCCCGTTAGTCGATCCCGTCGAATTGTACGTACTGCAAGTCTTCAGTTATTATTCGGAATTTCAGAGCTGGTTTCCAGAAATACTTAAAATACAATGATAATAAAGAAAAAAAAAAAAAAAAAAAAAAAGAAGAAAATAGGGACGAGCACCGCTTTCACAAATAAAATGCAAAGAACAGTTATTCCGTATGTAGGTACCAGTTCCGTGTAACAGGTTTTACTGACTTTTCTGACTTTTTAAAGTAATTTTTTTTTTTTTCTTAACATTCCTTTCTTAACATCTCTTAAATTTCTCCTCGATATTTCTTGAAACGCAATTTTTTTATTACATTTATAGAATATTCCAACTGACTCACTCCTTCGTCGAGACGAATTTTATCAATTGATCTGATAATTGAATGTTTAATTTCATTCCGCTTTCTTTTTATCAGCATATCAAGACAGATTAAGAAATTGTTGACCTTCCATTTCGCATGGGCGAGAGGTGATCAAATATTGTAATTTAATAGATTAACTGCAACTGTGTAAATGATCATTTTGAACTCACGTCGCCCCCTCGATGGTTTGCAGAGAAATTCCAAAAAAAGAAAAAAGAAAATCTTGAAGAACTAGTCTGTCCCTCGGCGTTTCAATGGCATTGATGTAACTTGTAACACTTGTAGCTATATATTGAAGATATATGAAACAGGAACTACGGTTGGTTTCTGTGCTAACGCTCCAGAATGTGGACCTAGACACGAAATCTTATGAAAACACGCATTTATTCGATGTGAGCTATCGGATAATTCATTAGCTGTCAAAAATCTTGCATTATTTATGAAACTTGTTCTCTCTCTCTCTCTCTCTCTCT